CGGGTGCCCGCGGGGCGGGAGGAAAGCGAGCGTGCGCGGCCGGACTCACCCTGGCGCCCCTGCCGTTCTCCCGGGGGCGGGCAGAGCGGGCGAGAAGGGCTTGCCCTGTCGCCCTGTGGGAAGGAGGGAGGTCCCGCCGCAGCAGCCCAGCCAGCGTGCCCGGCCCGGCCCCGCCAGGTCCCTGTGCCGCCGTGGGCAGGCGTGAGATGGTGAGCCCTGCGCGGCTTTCCCCCGTCCTTCGCTTACTTCTTCTTTCTTACGAGCTTGCGCCTTCCCGAGCCCGCCCGATGCCTCCGTTACCATTAAGCGATGCCGATCGCCCTCTGCGGCTATTCCTACGGCAGCTCCTCCTTTACAATTAACAAAACTCTGTGTTGTCTGTAGACTTGAAATGGTGCTGAACTGGCACGAAAAGGTAGTTCAGATGTAATAAAAATAAGCATAGTCTTTTCTTCGTCTGTAAGTTTCTTTGGGCATGGTACCATCCCAGTTGTTTCTTGGGGTCTCTTTTTTATTAATTCTCTGTGAAGGCATAGGAACATGAAATGATACCAGGAAATTTCAGAAGCTGACATACTGAGACAGGAAAATGTTGTAGCAGAGACATCCCAAGTAAGAAGTGGTCAGTAAAAAGCACTAAACATATGTTGACTGAGGAACTGGGCTGAACCGTTGTGAAAGCACTGGGTTTTGGAGGCCTATGGAGCAGTGGAACAGCTACAGAGCACTGAGCTGCAAATGCCATATGCCATTGTATACGTTTCCACAGTGACCTGTGAACTTCTATGTGAATATATATGTTGTTACAGTTTATTTTTAGACTGCTTGTATAGTTAGTATGATTGTGTTTGGCATGTGCTTACTAAAGTTATCTTTTGGAAACAATTCTGATTTAACATTTTTCTTTTTAGAATATTGAATACATGTTTGGCATTGTTGGTATTCCAGTCACTGAAATTGCAATTGCAGCCCAAGCAGCTGGAATAAAATATGTAGGAATGAGAAACGAACAAGCTGTAAGTATATATCTGTAGTAGGACCAATCCTTTCTTTTAACTGTTTTACAACAGAATGAAATCCAGTATATATTTTGTTACTAGAAATAACGTGATCTCTGAATGTTCCTTTAAAGAACCTGTAGAGAAGCAGTTAGTGTCAGTCTAGAATAAGGGAGAGCATTGGTGGATTGGATTGGGTGTTTCTTTTTGCCCTTCTTTCCCCACTTCCATTTTTGAGTGACCCCTCCTTTTCTAATAAGGGAATTGCAACTTTTTTCATTTTTAGATGCCTTTCTCCAATAAGGGAGAGAAGGAAGGATGAAAATAGGGAGAAAAAGAATTTGAACAAAGCATTCCAATACAGAAAGAAAAAATGATCAATTTTGTCTCCTTCAAGTAATATATTGTCAGGTTTTATCTGCCACTTTTTGGGAGGCTCACCCAGGTTTTTATTTTTCTGTAGTTTTCTATAGACTTTCCAATATACTTCTCCCTTAAATTTTTCTACTGTCACTTTCTTTTGCTGATGTCTTCCCTTCCAAATTAGGACAACATTATCATTCTCTCTCTAATTGATAGTATTTTAATTCCTCTTTTAGGACTTTCTTAGCTGCTACTTTCCTTTTTGTTTAGAAGGATATTTTACTTAGGAGCTATTTCCTACAGGCCTAAAAAGGTAGGTTTTTTTCCCTTGTCTCTGTTCTGTTCTTGCAGTGCCCAAAGAGGAAGGTTTTCCTGCTGATAAGCTTGTCCTGACTATTTTCAATAATTGCAATATATTTTTTTCCTTAACTGTGTTTTAAAAGCTCACCAAACAGCAAACTGTAGAAAGTTAAAATGCTTCTGAATGCTCAAAATCAAGCATGAACATACCCTTAGAGAGTCTTAATTGTATATATTTCAGCTTCATTGTCTAGGTATCAGAAATTAGACTCAAGCTCATTAGCGTTTTGATGTTAAGCCACTAGTTCTGGATTTGTTTGGTTTCCCCCAGTAGTAGCTCTTGAAGCATTCAGTAGTTTCTCAGGTGGTCTGAGGTTGAATATAATAACCTCAGGTTTATACCTCATTTTCAAGGATTGCTGCACAAGCTGGCTAGCTAGCTACTAGCTATTGCACTGCTAGCAAATGGACCATCAGGTGTCCGTACTCGGAGTTGCTCTACTATATTTGTCAATTTTCCATAACTGATGCCAACAAATAAATAAATTGCTTGATTATTACCTTACCAGGAGATTTTTTCTTGTGTTTTAACTTGTTTATGGATCCTGTCTGTCTATGAACACTATTAATTAGAATTTTACCACTTTTACAAGGAACTTCTAGTATTCTGGACCTGCACAGTACTCAGGTGCCTGTATTTTGCAGCAGTGTTCTTTTTCTGTTTTCCACCATGTAGTTCATAGGCTTCATGGATCGTCCCAGGTGTCAATAAAGTATTATAATAGTAGTTCTCCTAAATCAGGTGGTCACGAGCTGTATGTTTTTGCTGTCTAATCCTTAGATCCTTATATTGGAATGTGAGAATTTGCAGAGGAATGCATGTCTCTATGGAAAATCTGTAACATGAGAGAGGCAAACATATACAAATATGTTTAAAAGGTGTACTTGATTCCTTTGAAGGACAGGGAATTCAACACAGTCTTTATATTCCTGTAGGCCATTTAGCAACTGTTCTAGTTTTAGCTTTGGTTATTAACATGATTAAAATTAATTTCCTCATGTGTCTGTAATTAAAAGAGAAGATTGCTTTGCACTGCCAAGTGAGGTGCTGTCCTATTTTTCACTCTTTACTAGACTCTTTTCCGTTAGAGTGAAGAAGACAAGAAACATTCTGTTGTGTAAACCGTGAGATACTTTTGCTTAGGGGAATAACAATAACATGAAGACTTGTTTTAACATCAAAATGTCAGGGTTTCTCTTTGGGAAGTAGAAAAGGATGAACAAAGATATATGTGGGTTTTGTTTTGTTCTTTGTCCTCAGTGAAGAGCTAGAGTGATTGCTTGGCAGAGGAGAGGGTAAAAGGTTATACGCAGTATATTCACAATACACTTAATATTTACACGTCATAATTTTGTCACATGAAGACTTGTTTTAACATCAAAATGTCAGGGTTTCTCTTTGGGAAGTAGAAAAGGATGAACAAAGATATATGTGGGTTTTGTTTTGTTCTTTGTCCTCAGTGAAGAGCTAGAGTGATTGCTTGGCAGAGGAGAGGGTAAAAGGTTATACGCAGTATATTCACAATACACTTAATATTTACACGTCATAGTTTTGTCTAAGTTTATTAGTTGTCTGATCTGGTTGTGGAGGGTGTGTATACAGCTGCTTCCTTTATCGGTGAAGGCAGCCCTATATGATCTGAGATATATGGAAAACAAAGTTTTTTTTTTTCCAGGGTTGAGTTTCTGCCTCATTTCTCGGCCAGATGTAGTGAAAGTCCATAAAACTGCAGAATAAAGTGTTTGACTAGAAAGACCAGGTTAAAGCATGAAGTTAAAAGCTAAGTAGTACTACCAATATCCATTAGCTAATCTCCTGCAGCCTGTAACATGGCATAAGTTTGCTAGAAGCAGTTTAACCCGTGTCCCGTATGCCCCTTGAACACTGGATAGTTGTGTGGCAACTTGATAGGGGTGTGTGTTTTGTGTATCTGTCCCTGGGTAATTAGAGATTGCTGTGATTGTTTAGAAAACTGATAACCCAGGTCAGTTTTAAACTTCAAAAAACCCCTTCAAGACTGTTATATTCATTAACAACACACATTGCGAATCACAGAATAGAATCATAGAATCATTAAGGTTGGAAAAGACCTCTAAGATCATCAAGTCCAACCGTCAACCCAACACCACCATGCCCACTAAACCATGTCCCTAAGCGCCTCGTCTACCCATCTTAAATACCTCCAGGGATGGGGACTCAACCACTTCCCTGGGCAGCCTGTTCAATGTTTAACCACTCTTTCAGTAAAGAAACTTTTCCTCATGTCCAATCTAAACCTCCCCTGGCGCAACTTGAGGCCATTTCCTCTTGTCCTAAATGTTTAGTTCTTAATCTTTAATAATAATTACCACTACATATTCAAAGCAATCTCTTCTTGATAATCTTACCCTAAGTTAGTCGTGAGTATATAATGTGCTGGAGCTGGTACAGCGTAGTTAGCACGGATGGTGCTAGCTGTCAGGGGAATCAGACTCGAGAACCCTTCAATAAGGGCAGCTGGAACCAAAGCGGACATCTTTTTTCTCCACCCCTTAGATTCAAGATCTCTTTTTATAAGACATTTTGTTTTCTGAACAGATCTTACCCCTTGGCCTCCGTGCCTGGACTGTGGACCGTGCAGTGCTGGATGGGTGTTACTTGCCCAGGCCAAGACAGGTGCTTTATCCTGTTGCACATCTGTTGGTTGGGTTTTGTTCTTTTTTTTTTTTCCCCCCCCTCCCTTGCTTAGCCGTTGCTGCCTTTCCTAAAGCAAAAGCAGTGTCTTCCCAGATCTCAAAGTTGCATTTTTTCAGTGACCAGTAATTGGCCATCAGCAAGTTGCTTATTATTCTGGGACTGCTGCTTTAAACCTGTGTCCATATTTTCAAGGCCCGAATTTATGTTGTATGTCATAACAAAAGACATCATGTACCAAGCTCAGATTCATACAGCAAGTTCTCATAACAAGTTGATCACAAGCCCTACAGGAACATTTAGCATTAGGTACAATTAACATAAGGGCTTCAGGCCCTCTCCTAGGCATGGCAGTACTGTTTTAACTGGGCCACTGGGTACAAAAATGCTTAACTATTGTTTACTAGCTATGTTGTATTGCTTTGCTTATGTTTGAGTTGAAGACAGAATAATTGAATTAAACCCTGCTTAGTGTGCTTCTGCTTGTACAGGAGCAACAGACCTCTGCTTTGGCTACAGTTCAAACCCAGCACTCATGGGTGGTTGCAAACTTCGAGTTCAGTGCCTGCATTTGGACCCCTTGCATTTCTTCCTAATGTTGATTGTGGGTTTGGTGGTCATTGGCATTTTATATGCCTACATCCTTCTTGCCTGTCCGAGGAAAATAAGGATCTGGTTTCAGCTGATCAACTGCGTTGTGACCTTAACAGATAATATGAGTGCCATTACTCATGTTTTAGTGGTGGGGGTGCAAGGTTCGTAAGTAAAATGGGGTTTTGTTCTTACTGTTCACAGAAAAAAAATCTTTTAAGTATACCCTCAAAATTATTTATGATTTCCTCTCCTCTAAATACAGGTAGATTTAGTCATGTTGTTTCCTTGCAGAATGAAGCAGTAAAAGTTTTAATGGCAATGACTGTACATGAACCCAAATTCTATGTGCTGCTTTATTTTGCCATTCAGTTCTAAAAAATGATTGCCATGGAAACTCAACACCATGCTTTGAGCTCCATTAACAAGATTTTTAATAACACCTACTCCAAATATTTTAAACTTTTGCACACAGATATGTCATCAAATTGTTATCTAATTCTTGAATTATGAAAAGTAGAAAGAGATTTTTCTTGTCAACGTACTTTTTTGTCAACAATTCCCTATCCTAATGCTGCAAAGAAAATAAGGGCTGCTTATTATTCCTCTACTAAGCCTCATGTTTTCCTCAAACAGTTGGTCTGTATCTTTAGGAGCATGAGGATACTAAAGACAGTTTCTCCTTCTGTGTAATAAGTCTGTGTTTTCACTCATTGAAGCTGAGATTGCTAACGTGCTGTGTTACCTAGAATTATTCACAGGTTTGAGGAAAATGTATAGTAGCTTTGTAAACTTTTAGAAGGAGCTTTTGTGTTACTTATTCTTCTTACTACAGTAGTACTCAGATAAAACTAAAAAAAAAAAATCCCAACTCTATTTCAAAATGAAAGAGGCGGGCTATAAGGCCAGGAGCTTACTTTAAAAACAAAATCTTGCAAAATTACTTTTTTCCATTAAGTGTTAGAACTTGCTGTATTCAAGACAAAAGCATGAGAATATGAGGGAGGGAGTTGGCAATGTCACATGTGTGAATCCTTTGGAGTTCTCGGGTCGCCCGTAAGCTTCTGTTTCTACTTGATCGCATATTGTCTTGTTACCAGGTAAACTTTATATCTGAATGTTTAATATTACTACAGGAGTAGCATAAAAACATACTCCGTAATAATACTGCTGCTAAGCTATGTTAACACGTTGTAGGCATTACTTTTGTGAAAATTATTCAAAATGCAATTTTTCTTTAAAATGTGAAAGTAGCTAAAGCTAAGTGCGATACCAGAAATGGAGTCAAAAGTACTTCAGCAACTCAGCTTGTAAAAGATAATCCCTAATCTTCTAATGAATCTCTCCAGCGTGTGATTTCAACCTTTTGCTTAATTTCTGAAATACGATGAGTCATTCCAGTGATGGCTGGATTTCTGTTCGTTGCCTTTCTCTTGTAAATCCCTCTTCCATGTGAGTCTAGAAGGCAGTAGAAGGGAGAAGTTTCTTATGCTGTTCTGTTCATTTTGCTTCCCTGGTTAGGGGGGGTTTCTTTTATGTCGTCGTTTTTTCGATTTTTTAAATCATAAATATTCCTAATGTAATATCCTGGAACAACAGAAGCTTGAAATGTGGAGACGAGTTTTGAAATTTTTTTACGTAAGCCTTCATGAACGCACCTTATAATGGGGAGCGTGAAGGGGTACTTCTGCTTACATTTAAGCTCTAATGGTCAGGACAAAATCTGTCCCTGCTTATTTTCAGTATTTTTGTTGAAAGTTATGTACAAGATATCATGAAATGTATATATAATAACAACTGTATAATTAACTCCATGAACGCACCTTATAATGGGGAGCGTGAAGGGGTACTTCTGCTTACATTTAAGCTCTAATGGTCAGGACAAAATCTGTACCTGCTTATTTTCAGTATTTTTGTTGAAAGTTATGTACAAGATATCATGAAATGTATATATAATAACAACTGTATAATTAACTCCAATATTTTCAATAGGCCTGTTATGCTGCATCTGCTGTTGGATATTTGACTGGCAGGTACATTCCACATTTATTAATGTTTATAATAATATACTATTAACTGTATTAGACTCAACAGGTAG